TAAAAAGCTATATTACTCCACAGGTATTATTAGTTACTACTTGATTATCTTATCTGCAACATTATGTCACTTTAGAGCTGAGAAAATCATAGGGTTTGGGTCGCGGAATCCAAATGCAAAACTGGAATGCAAGCCTCTTGGTGGGTTGTGATTTGCATAAAGAGTTAAATCTTACATTTTTGTTATATTATTGAACTACTCTCTTTTAAATGTCCCCTAGCATTTAGTTACAATTCCTTAACTTCTATTATCTGAGATGTTGACAGTTATTTCTCTGGCTTAGTTCTTTAATCAGAGGAATCGAATGGCAGTTATCAAAGCTTTGCTTTTGAGTAACAGCAAAGGATGAAGAATTGAGTATGTTCATTATAAGATATTGTTAATCTGAAGCTACTATTTTCTAGCTTTTCAATTTTGTAGACCACATTGTAGCATATTTAAGTTTCCTGACTCCAGGCTTCCTTTTTAATTTGCTCTTAAAAGTCCTTTTAGAAATAGGCTACAGATCTCAAGGTGCCTGCAAACCACAGGTTGAAAATGATTCCGTGATAAGGCCCTCTGTCTTGTGAGAGGTGCTTGCAGCTGTGTTACAGCCCCATTGGAACCTAGAGTGGGATTTGCAAAGACTAGGCTTTACACACGGACTAATACAAGTAAAATCAGTGGAACTGCTCCTGGAACACGCTTGTACAACCTCTTCCAGAGCTGCAGCATCAGGGCTGAGCAATAGGTTTGAGTAAGGGCTGACAAGTATGTGACACTACAACTGGGTAGGGTTTTTTTTAGTGTCTTGTTAAGTAGGTCAGTGCAGTGTGAAGATAACGCTTTGCTCTTTCTTTATGGTTTTCCAAGGTACTCTTGAGTGTAGAGTCTTTGTAAGTGTGAACTATTATTGAGTCCTGTTAGTGCTGATGGGGAGGATACTCTGTTTAAATCGACTCTATTCCTTCCTGATTTCATGCTAAAATGGACGACTTATGTTTCTTACAGATAACTTCTGCTTTGTTACTTTGCATTTCCATCACTGGAAACTGGTTGTGAAAACCTAGAAAAAGCGAGGTGTTTAATGAGATGTTTGCCTGAATTGGGCAAAGTATTCCTCGGCTTTCTACTCTAGTCAGACTGGTTTGTCACGCAGTCACTGGTGACTGCTCTTCAGTAACTAGTATTTTGGTGGTAGTTGTTTGGGTTTTATTAACGAATAAAGAGACTTACCTGGTAGTCTTTATTTGGCAGAAAGTGAATACATATTTTTGCAAAGCATTTTATTTGCAGGATACAGCCTTTGACATGAACAAAAACTTTTAAAGTTGAAGTACTTTAAATAGCAGCAGCGCCACAGCCGGCTCTTGATTGACAGGCTCTTTGTGCACTTAAGTGCTGTGTATACACAAAGCAGAAATAGAAATATCCCTGTCCTGGTGTTGGTGCTGCTGCTATCAGTAGTGAGATGCCTACTGTGTTAAATAGGAGCCAAACTGACTAATCTACACAGGCTGCCCTCCGCTTCCCTGCCAAGAAGCAATATGAGGACTGTGTTTTATCTGCCCCATCCGTGCCATGATAACAGAAGTGTGGTTTGTTTGCTCCGGACCCAGGTGCTCATTCCAGCTGCAGTATTCATTGGGCTCCACAATGACGACTGCTGTGGGTGCTTCGGCCATGAGGACTGTGGGAAAGGCTGTGCGGTAAGTGAGCCTTTGTGCTCCATCCCAGATAACACCGAAGACAAGGTGATGCCTGTGCTGAAAGTTCCTGTCTGTTTGCTGTGCAGATGCTGTCCTCGGTTCTGGCAGCCCTTGTTGGGATCCTCGGTTCTGGATACTGTATAATCATTTCAGCGCTGGGCTTGTCTCATGGGCCATATTGTTTTACTCACCTAGAAAGAAACTGGATCTATCCTTTCACTGACTCCTCTGGAGGGTAAGTTTTCTGTTCGTGAGTGTGTGATATATTCCCTCATGTACACATTGCTGAAAGGTACCGGAATAAAGCCCATATCCAGTAACCATATGCTGAGATCCATTCATAAGTTTGATTCTCTCGCTGAGAACCAAACAGATGGTATCAGTTATCCATGCTGCTATAGTCTAAACCCAAAGCAATGTAAATCCTTCGCCCTACAAAAAGGGATCTGAACACCTATCCATCTGTCTTATATATGTCATAATATCTACGTGCCACATACTGTTCATGTCCATCAACATCTCTAACAAAGTGTAAAGTTGCAGGACTTCGGGGGATTTACAAACTATGAATAGCGATTGTTATGAGATTTGTCTTCTCATTTGTGTTACTCTGGTTTGTGAGGCTTGCTTCCGAAGTTGCTTTGTGTCAGTGCAAACTGGCGTGGTACCTTCATTCATGAGAACATCATAGAACCTTTGGAAATGAAACTAGAAAAGGCTTATAAGAATCTTTGTATGCTGCAAGGCAGGGAGGGCCAGAAGCTCTTAATTATTCCTAATTAGGGTTCTCCAGCAAACCAAGCCTATTTAGCTGACTTGTGTGCTATTCCCTATTAATCCTCACAAATCCTGTACGTTGAAAGAGGATTTGCTTTGGATCATGACATGCTTTTACGTTGTCTGTATGATTGGCAACCTCGAGGCTGTTTCTAGTAACAGTTGATGGCTGTTGCCAGACTAGAGGCACTTTGAGTACTGAGAAGCCACATAGAGCTCCTGTGCAGCAGTGTTCGAATTTTCTGTTTTGGTTACATCTCTCTGAAGAGGGGGTGTTCCTCCACCCCATCCCCCCAACTGTGGCTGAATACAGAACCACTGAGTTAAGGCCTTACGGAGGGCTCATCGGTGCTGGTGTTCTGAAGGTGTGGGTGAGGAGTAACAGCTGGAATACCACAGCACCCCTCTGAATTTGTTCTGTGCCTGGCTTTTCCAGAGTAGGCATGTGAGGGCCCAAAGACAGCAGTGCAAGATAGGAAGTGACTCGTTAGCTTCAGATCAGTAATTGCTGTCCTTAGAGTAAAGACCCGTCCTTAAAAGCTCTGTGGTTGTTCTGAGAAGTAGCTTTGCTCTTTCAGCTTTCTTGAGCTTGTGTCTCACTTTAATCGGTAATAGAAGATTCTGCCTTTATAGCTTAGATTTATTTTTTTTTAAAGAAATTAAGACTTAAAAATGTATGGTTGATAGTGTAACATGCTTTCAAACAGAGCGAACTTTGCACGGAATAAATCATTGCGTTTTCTATTCCCTTTATCCTCGATGCAGTTACAGACTAGGCATAGTTTGATTCTAGTGTATGGTAAGCATCCCACTCTGTCACAATGTTAATGTGCTTTTAATTGCTGTGTACAGGTACTTGTTTGAGTATAACAAGTGGTCTGAATGTCAGGAACCTCAGAACATCGTGCAGTGGAACGTCACCCTCTTTTCCATCCTCCTTGTCTTGGGAGGAATAGAGTTCATTCTGTGCTTCATACAGATAATCAATGGCATTCTTGGAGGACTCTGTGGGTTGTGCTGCAGCCACGAGGAGGTAAGCCATTTGTAGTAGTTACAACCATGCTTCTCAGATGAACATGAAATGCTATTGTTACTGATGCTACTGTGGAGTCTTACTCAGCAGCTATTTTTTAGGTATGCTTAAACAACTATTCAGTATATGACTTTTTTTATAGCCCTGTTACATTTGGCATTTTCATGTAGTATTTGACCACACGCTTTCAGCTGATGCCACAGCTGTCACAGTGACGTTAGTCTGCACAGAAGCTGGAAGGCTGCTTTTTCCCCCCCTGCTTTTTTCCTTTCGCTATGGCACATGTGGTCATCAGCACTGTATAGGTGATATAACTGAAACACAAATCTCCTGGTGGTGTTGCCACAGCCTAAACCGTTGTTGCATGGTGTGATGCAGTTCTGTGGTAAGCTGCTTGTTCTAACTATATTGCTTTGGCCTTGTTTTTTGCTCATAGCAGCTGATAGACTACTGAGAATGCACTGTATGTAGTGAAAACTGCAGCATCCTGGCCTTGCTTAGTAAAAGTAGGAGAAGAGAAGGAATTAAATTGCACATAGCTAACAAAACCTGTAGATGGATCTGAAGGGTTTTCTGAAGATGGGTTTTTTTTGAGTGAGGAAGGGGAATTTCCTCTGAACTTCTTTAGAGTCTTGTTAAATAGTTTGAGCATGTTGTTAAAATCAGAATCGTAGTGGTAGAGTTGGAATTGCAATGGCTTAAGGTATGAACCAGATATTCTTAGCCATAATGTCTGTGTGATATAAATCATGTGTTTCACACTTAATTGAAAATGAGTCCCAACATTGAACTATGTCAAAACTATTACTGTCTTCTCACTCCTGTCTTCCATGCTGTAACTGCAGTATCGGAGAGCCATGCTATGGTTGTCTCAGCATGGTCAGGTGGATTTCAGCTCTTATAGTTGGATACTGTATTACCATTCTTCCCCTTAATACGTGTTTTTCTTTTTGTTCTCCTTACAGACGTATGCTTGCTAGAAACCTGACAATGCATTGACGTTGGTGCATGTGTGGTATATTGAGTGTTCTGTGGGTTTTTTATATTCCATGCATACTAAAGTATACAGTTTGTTGTCAAACCGTGGTGTTGCCGTCAATTTAACTGACCTGGGGACAGCCTTTGTTGGAGTCACACGCAGGTTTTCCACTCACCTGCCTGTATCTAAAGGCAAAATAGATCCTGAATTTCTTTGGTTCATTTCATCTTAGTGCAGGCAACTGCCTGAACATGTCACTAAATACACTTTTTCTTTCTGACACAAAAGCTCTGTAATTTATGTGGCTTTCCCAATAAAGTTGCACTTTCATTCTGGTGTTGGAATGAACACGAACCAAATCTAGTCTGGCCTGGATATAAATGAATACTCAGCTGGAAACAAAGCAGCAGTAAAATGTGGATGATCAAGGTGATATGTGCACTTCACCTTTTCAGGATTTTTCTGGACTTCTCCTGTATTTCACAAATAAAGATTTGTATTAAAAACACCCAGCAGGTGTCAGCGATTCTTTCCCTGCCTGTGCTGAAACACTGCTTGCCTGGCCTTAGCGTAAAGGGCAGTGGTGGAAGGAGAATGTGGACATAAAGCAGTCAGGTTATAACCTGCTCTGTCGCAGTGGGATCTGCTTCACTCTTCACGTTTACCTAAGCCAGACAATCGTGCATCAACAAGGGTGTGATAGTTCAATGACAGCGCTGACAGATACAGCTGCGTACGTGGAGTCTCAGCCCTGCGTCTTGGCTCGTGCTTTGCTGCTGGCGGCTGCTCCAGGGCCTGGGGGAGGTTCCTGCAGAGATGAGCCACAGCTCTGTCCCTTCTGCGGTTCTCCTGAGGAGAGCTGCCCTCCTGGCTGCTTAGTTTCAAAACAAATAAAAATGTGAGTCTGGGTCCTGTTTTCACCTCACCCGGCAGACCCTCAGGTGTAGCAGTGTTCAGAAAATGTAGTGGAACCTCAAGTCAGCAGGGATAGATTGATCTGAAATATTCGGCCTCACCAGTAAGTGGCCAGAGGTAGTGTTCTTAGGTCCTGTGCAAGAACCTCTGAAGTGTAGCTTGTAGCATAAGACAGTGAACTTTTTTAGCAGAAGGTAAAGTAAATCTGAATGATGTGCTGCCAACGGCATTGCTGGCAAGGTCGGTATGCTATGACAATGCCATGTTTCAGGTGAAAAGTGAAATGCGATGTGCTGTTTATCTCAAAGAAATGAGGCTGATTACTATTATTGCTCAGTTTTGAATCTGATGGTTACTGTTGTCTTTGAAAACGGGCAAGTAATTTTCTGTTTATGGGAGGAAAAGAATTTCCCCTGGGTGCTAGTGTGTACTTAGTACTACTTGTAACTAGGAGGGTGGTCTTAGAAGTAGCCAGAAACTTGAGGTGTACCTCAGGCTCTCCTCACAGCCAAATCCTCCCAGTACAAACACATATCTGAAAAAAAAAAACCAACCAACCACACCTGTGAAAATGAAATTGCACGCACACATCCACAGCAGCAAAAGAATTCACAGATGGGAAGAGTTTATTAGGATGTCTGCTTCTTGTAATACCATTTATTCATACGTAAATACATAGATGTAGTGGAAGGCAGTCTTTAACACTGTTTCTGCTGGTTGTGTTTATCTTTGTCTTACCCTGCTATGGGAGGGAAGAGAATATGTGTGTGCATGTGTATATACATGCACAAAATTCCTTGCTGCTGTGCAATATGGTGCCTTTGTATGTGAAAAAGCACTGTTAGAAAAAAAGGATCTGCAAGTTTAAATTAAGTGGGGAGTGAGAAGAGGAGGAAAGAAGAGTCTCGATGGAACAGGGTATAATTCCCATGCAGCTTACAGATTTTTGCTTTTACGCTTGTGTAACTGTTGCTTGTCTTTCTGGTACACCCAACTAACCGAAGAACTGAAGCAATTTTAGAAATTCCAATGGACAGAATGATTCGGCTAGAGACTCGAATTAAAACTTTAGCTCAGATCCATGTAGCACTAAGGCATAGCATTACTTCTCACTGTTTGTGTTGTCATTTAAAAAAAGACAGTTTGAATTCCTTTGTTGCCTGATGTGTAAGGTAGTGTTTTGGGAGTTTTTTTCAGTTACATTGCAAAGAAGCAGTTGTTTTAGGTTAAATTCATTTCAGCTAACAGAGGAATTTTACTGATGGGCATGGCATCAACTTGTGGATATCAACAGAAACAGGAAAGCGGTTCTTGCAACACTTGGTAAGATATTTGAGAAACTGGTTGCCAGGTTTGCTTAATGCTTAGTATAAAATGATTTCTTCCTGTTCTAGCAGTACAGTGTGCCAGCAAGTAAAGCACACCTTGATTTGGTACTTGCAGAACTTAGTTTAAATACAAAATAAGTAATGATGCAGACTGCTGTACTGCAGAATGAATGCTGTTTCCGATGTTTCCCAGGTAAGTTTCTTCTAATCAGAACAGGTTACTATGGGAAGTAGCAGCAAATTTTATTATAAACTAAGCTGCTCACTAATAATTTGGTACTTTGCTTTTAGAAAAAATATATTTCAGCCTATTACATGATCTGAGTTTTGTAACCAAAAATGAGTCCTGGGGATGTGATGTGCCTGCTTGTGATTCAGCTGTTCTCTGAGCTGTAAGGCGCAGCGGTGACGATAGGAGCTCTCTCCGTGCCTGGAAGCCTGTGAAGGGAGGTTTGCTGCTAATCTTGGTTAGAGGGAGGCCTGAAAAAAGTGTCTGTAGTGATTAGGGAGTAAAACAGGAAACACGGGAAGATTCTCAGCATAAAGTCTGAGGACTTCACAATGAAACTTCTTAGAAAAAGAAGGGGAGAGTCACAGCAGAGAACGGTAGAAGAATGGTGTAACCATGTGAGTGCCCGTTTCCCTGGGTGATCTCGTTCAAAAAAACAGGAAGGAATCAGTTACAACAGGCAACACAAACAGCTTTTATGAGATCATGAGAGAAGCCTCATGTGTGCAGAGCCTAAAACAGCTGATGAGGAGACAGAAGGATATGTAATGACATCATTGCTTCTAAAATCAGCCTTTTCGTTTTTGATAGAGCCCCCAATTTTTTGTTCTCTGACTACGACTTTCCTGTTGAGTAAACCCTGAGCTCGTTCTTGGGTTACTTTTCTGATGACTCACAGGGGCATGGGAAGAAGGCTTGGGTCGTGCTGTGAGCATTCAAACGACTCCAGCTCTGTTACTGGCACGGATGTTTAGTTGCTCAGGGCTTAGGGAATGATGACACATGAGAATGGAGAACTGTCTGGCTTTGGCTTTGCACAATGCAAAACGGCAGGCATTTCAAAAAAAAAGGCCAGACCTTTTGTCCACTAGAAGAAGTCACGTGTACTTAGATCGGATCTGTAGCTGTGCACACTCAGCTGTAAGCACAGAATAAAACAAGTGGAGAAGTAGCAGGATTTAATTTGTGAAACAGTTGAGCTGCATAGTGCTGCAGAAAAGAGTAATGAATTAAGGCGTGACAGTTAGTCTGCCTGGCAGTTTCTAACCGATGTCGTTGGGGCTTCTGCACTCCCTGCGAGGTGGCTGAGATCAGCTCGGTGCTCCTGCGAGGCTGCCGCAAGCCAGCAGCGACTGCTGGTTCGCCCTTAGGGCTGTGCGTGCCAAAGCTCTGCTGTTAATTCTCTGTGGCGGGAGGTAACGGGTGGCCTTCGGTACCGGGACTGGACATATTTGTCATTTGACAGCCTCCTTCCCCGTGTAAGGTAGAAAAAACGTTGAGCTGCAACAAGGCTGAGCAACCTGCCTTGTGTCGCACAATATCTGCATCGCGACCCGTGTCCTCGGGAGGAGTGTATTTCTAAACAGTCACTAGGAAATGAGATTTTTGAACTTCCTTCCTGAGTCTGGCTTCTAGCCTTATTTCATTTGGAAGATCTCAAAGGAGGATCTTTTAGAAGGGAAACTGCTACTTAAAGACATACGCCTAGAAAGGACAATGCGTTCAGAAAGCAATATTCATCTGTTGTTCTGCTGTTAAGCACTCCTCTCCCTGCACTCGTACCCCGTCACCAGCTCCTGTGAATATGAAATGACTGAATCAAACTGAGGCGGCCAAAACATTTTTCATGTTTAAAACCTTGTAACCTTTTGTTAGCTTAGAAGAGCAAAACTTCTGAAGTTCTTGAGAGATGGCTTTAGAGACATGTGGAAGCTGTCTGAGTTGTCTGCTGATACCTCTTGCACTTTGGAGTATTGTTGTTAACGTTCTATTATATTTCCCAAATGGAAAAGCTTCACATGCTGCCAGTTACCAGCTTCCCAACTACGTGTGGTATTTTGAAGGGATCTGTTTCTCAGGTGTGATGGTAAGTGCTGATTCTATAGATTTTGAATTAATTGCATTCTACTGCAAATAATATCGGGTTCCTGTGCAGCAACGTAATTCTGCTAATTGCGCTTTTAAAGAGAATATGGAGTACTTTGGCAAAAATATTGCAGGCAGAAAAACTCGATCAAACTGAAAAAATATGAATGTACTGAATGATATGCTATGTATACTATTTAATTTCATTTAACTGATTTTTGTAGGATTGATTTTTTTTTTTTTCTGCTGGCTTTTTGTTCATGTGTCATTGATGCTTATATTAGGGAGGCAGGCACTATGTTGATTTAATCCTCTACAGAGGATTGAATTAGAGTTCTTTTAGCAAAATGAAACAAAAATTGAAAAACTTCTCATAACTGTTTAGATGTTTTGAAGAGCTGTATGCAGGCCCGTATTTAGAGGACTGGTTACAGTTCACAATGCATCGAGTACCACTGTTGTTAGGCTAACTATGGAAGATTGTCTCACTGTGGTTGGCATGGTAGGATTTTCTCCTTTACATTTGTAATGTGCTCATCTGTGGTAATAAACTAACAGAGTTGGCCACTGCTCATAATCTTCACCATGCTCACAAAGAACTGTAGCCTCGGGGACAGAAAGCAGTCGTGTAATAAAGGTGCGCACACAATCAGTGTTTAAAAA